CGAGCGACATGCCGAGTGCTTAGCCGGCCGAATGGGCACTGTGCCGAGCACCATGCCGGGACGTACGGGCGGAGGGGTCGATTCACGGCCAAACACGCACATTGGCCCATGAATGGCACGATGCGCAACTCATGGCCACATTTCTTGGGCACGGAACGAGATCAGAACCGGATTTTACAGGCACGACTTGTGGCACGAGAGTCAGGCACAATGGCCGGCACACGACCGGACACGTAGCCGGTCTGTAGCCTGGCTGATGGGCAAGATGACCGGTCATGACCAGGCGTATGGCCTTGGCCGTCGCGACCGGAAATTTTGCTCGGGCCGCGACTAAGCTACTAGGCACATGGCCTGGCACATGTCTCATCCATGGCCTGCCCGACTCAACGCAACGATCCGTGGTCGATTTGTGACCGGGCCACGTTCGAGTGTCAACGTCCCATGGTCGACCCTCGGTTGTCATGTAGCCTTATGGAATTTAGTACCCGGGATTAACTCATGGTCACCCGGGACTAATGCATGGCCGTGTAGTATCACCCACGACCGATACATGCCGACACCAGACTGATCCACAGTTATCCCGGACCGTTCCACTAACGGCCCTTATGGTCGAAGAGTCATTCTACGGTCATATTACTCTAATCATTGGTGTAGTCAGGGGTCATTCTATTGTCGATCCCTAGGCCAATTCATGGACAATCTTTCGATCAAACCACAACCAACCCTCAGTACACTCGTTCTGATCGTGCTGTCCATTCCATTATAACGCTAAACTCGACTTACCCGCTCATCCACTTATTACCAACCCTCGGCTTCCTAGGCCCGAAATCGAGGATGTCACAACTCACCAGGAAAACCAACAAATCCTCGGGCGAGGACCCCCAGGTACTCATTGTTTGAGTATTTTCAAAATCTGCTAGCGAGGATCCACCAGGCAAACCAACAAATCCTCGGGCGAGGACCCCCAGCTGCTCATTGTTTGAGTATTTTCAAGATCTGCTAGCGAGGACCCACCAGGCAAACCAACAAATCCTCAAACGAGGACCCCCAAGTGCTTATTGTTTGAGTATTTTCAAGACCCGTTGGTGGGCAAGGACCCCCAGGTGCTCATTGTTTGAGTATTTTCAAGACCTGTTGGCGAAGACCCACTAGGCAAATTAACAAACCCTCGGGCGAAAACCCCGAAGTGCTCATTATTTGAGTCTCTCCAAGACCTGCTGGCGAGGACCCACCAGGCAAACCATCAAATCCTCGGGCGAGGACCCTTAGGTATTTTGGCAAAACAATCCCCGTCAAAGCGATCGAAGATAGGTTTGGGTCCTAGACAAACCATTTCCCCCTGTCAAGGCGACCGAAGACAGGTTCGAGTCCTCGACACACAATATCAACTATCTGGAATTACTCTACCCTTTGCTAAGGTGAGTAGCCTCAGGTATGTTTTTATTTGCTTTAGCATATATCATCTTATCGCACCACCCGCCTGGGTGGCGCTGCTGGAGCGCGCACTCTTCCTCTCGCAAAAGGTTGAGTGTTCGAATCCCGAGCGCCGCAAGGTGACTTAACCGGTGGCACGTGTGTGGTGGCTAGCACGTGTCGCCCCCAGGGTTTACTCCCCGGCTGTCGACCATGCGGGGGTTCCCTGGGTTATCAAAAAAAAAAAAATCTTATCGCATCATAAAAAATGAGACTCACGGTCTCGCCAAAAATAACATTCATTGAGTATGCATGGACCAAATTTAGGTGTCATTTTATCTTTAAACGTAACCTCTGCGAGTTCAATCTCTGTGAGCTCACATTCAAAGAGGGGCAGCTGTTAACACCTATTTTTAATTTCCCAAAATTAATTACACAAAAATTTAGGAATTAATGTCCTTAATTCCTAATCAAAAAATTATTTAGTTTCTAATTGCATTGCATATAGACATTAGGCATATTTGGATTAATAGGGCTTATTAGATCATATTTAAAAAAAAATTAAAAAAAAATTCCCGAGTTAGGCCGGGTCGGGGCTGGGTCGACCCAGCCCTTTTCTCTTTTCTTTCTTTTTCCCTCCGCACAAGCCCAGCCCATTCTTTTTTCTTTTCTTTTTCCCCTTCGCGCGGGCCCGGCCCGCTTTCCTTTTCTTTTCTTCTTTTCCCCGCTCAAGCTGGGCCTAGCCCGGCCCAGTTCCCCTTCTCCTTCCTTCTTCCCCTCCTTGTCGGTCGCTTTCTCTTCCCCTGTTCTCCCCTATTCGCGGCTGCAGAGTGACGAACGGCGGCGGCCTCTCACCGTCGTTGTCTGGTCAGAACCGAGCCGAGGCAGCACGCCAGAAGGACTGGCCATTAATGCCAGTCCTGTCTTCCCCCATTTCCCGGTCTCTCTCTCTCTCTCCTCCTTCCTCTCTTCTTTGTCCATCTCAGAACCGGCCCCCCTGCTCTGCACCGGCCTAAGTGCCCGCGAAAGTCACGGGCCAAAGTAGGCCGGTGCAGGCCATCGTCACCATGCATGAGCAGGTGAGACGCGTCATCGCCGGCTATATATAGCCAGAGAGAGAGAGAGAGGCCGGTCGGCCAATTTAGAGAGAAAAACGGAGAGGGAGAACAGAGAGGGAATAGAGAGAATAGAGAGAGAGAGAGAGAGAGAGAGAGAGAGAGCAAATCGAGGTCACGCCGTAGCTAAAGAAGAACCAACAATGGTCGTCGACGCCCCCAGACTAACCGGTGAGCCTCCCCGGTCGAGAAACTCCCCTGTTCTCCTCTATTTTTTGGCATGGTTGGGTTGGGACTTGCGCCGGCTGATTCGCGCGAATCCCAGCTCATACCACCGTTTGTCCCGGCCCTCACTCGCAGTCAAAGATGAACCACAGTTGCTAGAGCCGACCGGGTTGCCGTAAGAGGTCGAAGTCCTTCGTTTTTTTCTGTGCATGCCAACCGTTTCAATGAAATGCCTCAATGAGGCCGAGTTGATTTTGTTTGCCGGCCGGCGAACAGGCAGTCGGACGGCGAGCGGGGTGGTCGAAAAAGGTAGGTGGGGCTTGTGGGGTGAAGACTCAGGCCATGGGTGCCTTGGGTCGTTCAGCGAGATCGCCGGATTTCACCGGCGAGGCTCCCGCGTGCTTAGACACGCGAAAGCCGTCCCTAGACCGGACCAGTCTACAGACCTGTTCAACCGATCTACAAACAAATAGGGCCGGTTCGACCGGGTTGAACCGGCCTTATTTTGTCTTTATCCTTCGGACCGGGCCCCAACCGGGCCCAATCCGGTCCGTACCTGGGTCAATGACCCGGGTTGACCCCTAACCCGGTTCGGATCCGGAGATCAGACTCGGGTCAACGCTATGGGTCGGGTTCGTTGACTCGGGTAGGTTTTGATTGACCTGGATCTGTCGACCCAACCCGGTTTGTTAATATTATATTAATATTTTTTTCTATTTTTTTTAAAAAGAAAATTTTCGTCTTCTGTATTATTATTATTTTTTTGAAAAAAAATTAATTAAAAAAAAAAGAAAAGATTTTTTTAAAAAAAATTATATGGTAGATTTAAATGTTTTAATTTATTGTTGTATTATTATACAATTTATTGTCTTGTTTAAATTAGACAAGCCCTAGGTTACGCGGTAGTACTCTGCATGTTATTACCGTTATATTATTATGCATGTTTTTAATACAATTGCATAAATTGTTGTGTTTTGGATGTCATCTCACTTAGTTAAGATTAGAACCTTAGGCTGCATATCTATCCTGACTGCTAATCGTTTATGATTATGTACTCGCTTGATCACCTCACATGTTAGGAGAAAGATCCTAAGATCAATCTAAACTGCTTGACAAATGTTTTCATGAAATAAACAGGATAAAAAGGTACCGAAAGGGCATTAGTTATCCAACTAGTGTAACCAAATCTCCGAACTCGGTTAATCTCTGGTTCGCAGGAATAGGGTGATTCTCACATCACCTTATTTGGGTTTCTAATCGACCCACCCCAAATCGATTAGTGGCGACTCCTTGATATAAACCACTCGTATGTTAAACACTTAAACCCTAAGTCGCGATATGGTATGGGCTTGGGAGAGCCTGAGTTAAATCCTAAACCTAGGCTTAGCACGTACCAGGCGAAGTCTCCCTTTTTTCGCATGTTTAAAAAAAAAACGAAGGAGGTCGGTCGCGACAATAATGAATCTGATCATGTGAAGATAATTTGTTTGCTAACACTTAACACTCAAAAAAGATAAGATCGGAACTATTTTTTCGTGAAACCTTGTGGTTACCAAGAGAAAAAACATTAGTACCTAAAGGCTAAATTTCATCACTCTAACGGTAGACCATGTAATTGATGAAGTCCAAAGTTCTGAGAGATCAGTCAAGCCAACACAAAGAAACCTTGTCAAAAATCAAGAAACAAGTTCACAACCAACCTAGAAAATGGCATGTTATGAAGCAAAGTTGTTCAGTTACCTTCCACAAAGACATAGTAGCGAAGCTGGACTTCATGAAAGCATGGCCATCTGTCAGAACAAGAACAGCAGATTTGACCTTTATTTTTCTTTTTGCAGGTGGGAGATTGAGCTGAGGAGGTGAGCTCACAAGGAACCAACAAAGTAAAGAGATGTTCTGTCTTTATTTCCTAACCATACCCAAAGGCCAGTCACCAACTTATCATCACACACCAAAATTCTCTGCAAATATCTCTTGCTATATAAACTCCCATCCCCTTCCTCCATTTACTCAGACACAATTATCCAATCCATTCCGTTCCTCTCAGCTCATTGATCTCAAGTCCTTGAGCCTATCACAGCACAATATCCAGACTTCATTGACCAATATGGCTTCTTCTTCTAAGAGCTTTGTTCTCTTCATTGCCCTAATTTTCTCAACCGCCAATATGAGTTTCGGAGCTCGTCATCTACTGCAAACAACTATGCCATCCATACCGTCTCTTCCCACAATACCAACTTTACCGATACCGACCTCGCTGCCGCTGCCGTCCATGCCCACATTGCCTACCATCCCGACGACCCTGCCTCAGCCCACATTGCCGACACTGCCCACCACTGCTCTGCCGCCACTTCCAAGCATGCCGACCATGCCGACTGTGCCAACCACCTTGCCCCCAATGCCGAGCATTCCTACGTCTCTCCCTAAGATTCCTTCCATTCCTTTCCTCACTCCTCCTCCAGCCACCAGCCCCTGAAGATTTAGTACCACATGAGGTTACCTTACCTCAGTGTATCTTTGACCTGTTGGGGTCCGCCCTTTCTTTGTAAGATTGTTCGCATATGTGTGTGATGTGTCGTGAGATGTCTTTAGGAATTATACTTCTCAATCACATTGTTTTCTAGTTAGCTTTTTTGGTGAGAATAAATGTTTTTCCCGTATCTTGTATGTACCTTCTTTTATAGCAGAAAGTATACTTTTCACCACGGAATATTTCATGGCAAAAAGCGTAAAATAGACACTCAATAGCGACAAATTTTATTTCGTGGCCAAAGGGCCAACCTTTTGCAACGAAAATTATGTGGGCTGTTGTATCTTTGGCGACACAAAATTTCGTGACTGATGTTATGAGGCCAAGAAAGATTTTCGGACTAACGCGTCAAATTTCATAGCACTTGAATCATCTTTGCCCACAAATATTCGATTCAAAAGTTTAACCCGTTAGGTAAGATGAGACACAAAAATGCGAAACTTGTAAAGCGGGTGAATTGAAGTATTTCCAACACAAGAGAAAGGAGGAAGAAATGAAAATGGGATGAGGTATATAGAGTGAAAGAGTGACGTATTTCCAACACCACACATATATAAAAAGCATCTATGATCCATTGTCAAACCACGTGATACTTCAACAAACTAATTTTAGATACATTTTGTAATTAAAATCGTATTAGTAATTTTATTATCTTAGGCTTGAGTAATTTAAATTGATTAGCATAATTTTACCATCATTAATGTTATTCAAGCTGACGTGTATTTTTTTCAAATTGCATTTCAAGGTATTTCCTATTCCTATCAGTCTAAAAATAAAAAGAGAGAAGGTAGATAATAACCAAGACAAACAATACCACAAACCTTAAGGAAGGGGCGGATTTGGATGAACATTTTGCTTCCTGCCAATCATCAATGTTTGGAGAAAATTTATGAAGACAGAAAAAGGGTTTAAAAAGATCTAGAAAATTATTAGAATTTTGAGGCGGATATTTCCTGCACTTGTGTCGCGTCCTTCAGAATCATCCCCACATTTTGGAGTTCTAGACATCTTTTGGCATCAATCACAGGTTTTCTATGTGCTCTTACAATTTTAAGACACAGAAAACACACCTCTATATCCTATTCTTAATTAAAATATATTATTTTTGATAAGTTTAAAATTAATTGTTTTGACTAATTTTACTCTGGATTTGTTTTAAGCATTCGAAGATGATTAAATACTGGCTTTATCTATTATTAACATTTTAAAGTAACATATAGGAATGCACGATGACACGTAAATAATCGATAAGCAGCAATGAGCCATGTGACAAGTGTAAAGTTAAAGAGAGGTGTCTCATGACAAGTACAGGAAGGAACACTTGTCAGCAATCTCAAAGGAGATAATACCGGAACTATTTTTTCGTGGAATGTTTGCGTCCAGTTTTCATTCCTTTTAGGGTTAATACCATAAAAAATCACAAGCTGATATATCGCGTCAAATTTAGGCCAAACTAATTTTCGTATCACAAAAAATTACAAACTAGTACACCCATATCACATTTACCCTCAAACTAATTTTCATATCGCGAAAATCCCAAACTGATACGCTCATACCACATTTACCCTAAACTTATTTTTATATCATAAAAAAACTCAAAACTAGTCATATTAACCTATATTCTATTCCAAAATCCAACCTTATCAACATGTTTTTAAGCCAGATATTCCGTTAGAAATGGACTTCGTTGATTACTTCGATTTCAGAAAACTCTTGGATAACTCACAAATACCTTGTTTTCTTGCCTATACGTTTCACTTCTCATATCTCAAGTTCAAATCATTAGCTTTTAACATAGTTAAGAGTTTCTATTCGGAATTTTTTGTCACACAAAAAGTTTGGAGTAAATGTAGCACAAATGTACTGGTTTATGATTTCTTTATGACATAAAAAATAAATTTGGGGTTAATTTGATACGCTTGTATCCATTTTATGAATTTTTTTATACGAAAATTAATTTGGGGTAAATATGGTACAGATGTACCAATTTGAGATTTTTTATGGTGTTAATCGTTCTTTTCATCATTTGTGTAACGAAAAAGAAAACGAAGTACCTATAGTAGACCGGTTAATTAATGAAGTCCAAATTTTGGAGAGATAGGTCCATGCAACACAAACCAACCCTAGAATAATAAACCAACCCTAGAATAATACGTTGATGTCAAGAAGCAAGTTAACAATCAAACTAGAGAAATAGCAAGTTGGGAAGCATGTTATTCAGGTACCTTCCACAAAGACATAGCTGCGATGCTTGACTTCATGAAAGCATGGCCATCTGTCAGAACAAAGATCAGCAGATTTGACATTTGTCTTTTCTTCTTGCAGGTGGGAGATTGAGCTGAGGAGGTGAGCTAACAAGGAACTTATAAAGTGATGTTCCGTCTTTATTTCCTAACCATACCCAAAGGCCAGTCACCAACTTATCATCACCGCCCAAAATTCTATGTAACTATCTCTTGCTATATAAACTCCCATCCCCCTTCCTCCATTTACTCAGACACAACTAGCAATCCATTCCTCTCAGCTCATTGATTTCCAGTCCTTCGAGCCTTCACAGCATTAAAGCCAGACTCAATTTACCAGTATGGCTTCTTCCTCTAAGAGGTTTGTTCTCTTCATCGCCCTAATTTTCTCGACCGCCAATATGAGCTTGGGAGCTCGTCATCTGCTGCAAGCAACTATGCCATCTATACCGTCTCTTCCCACAATACCAACTTTACCAATACCGACCTCGCTGCCCCTACCATCCATGCCCACATTGCCTACCATCCCGACGACCCTGCCTCTGCCCACAATGCCAACACTGCCCACCACTGCTCTGCCGCCACTTCCAACCATGCCAACCATGCCAACCATGCCAACCACCTTGCCCCCATTGCCGAGCATTCCTATGTCTGTCCCTAAGATTCCTTCCATTCCTGTTCTCGCTCCTCCTCCAGCCACCAGCCCCTGAAGATTTTAGTACCATGTACGGTTATCTCAGTGTACTTTTAACTTGTGTGGGGTGCTCCTTCTGTTTGTAGAATAATTGGCATGCGTGTGTTGTTTTGCGAGATTGTGTTTCCAATTTATGTGTTATTCGTGTTACGTAAGGGGGGCACCAATCTGTTGTTCATGTTATTCGATAGCGAGCTCTCTTTTCCAGTTTCGTGTATCAGTGGATCTACTATTTATACACATCGATCAGTGATTTCTTTGCCCGTTTCTATCATGTTCTTTCTATCGCTCCCCAGCTTATTATTACTCGCAGTTCGTTTAATTGGATCTAATTCAACTGGCCAACTGCTCCAATTCAGCTTGACCTGACCACATAATTGCAAAGATAGCATATAAATTTCTCGACAACCTTTCGTTTCGTCTCTGTAATAGACATCCTCGCACAGTTCTTCGAATGTGATATATGAATCGCTTGAAGAGGATACACAGCTCCAACCACAAGGAAGAATTACCATTTGAACTAAAGAATTTGACCTCAGTTATTTCTTCAAAATCTATGGGACAATGCAATAATCGCTATTAAGAAGACTCCTACTAAGCATACTCCAAGTCAAGGTCACCCAATGTGACATCCTCAAATTTCGATCCTATTCGGGATATAACGAAGTGATTATTCATCGATGCACTGTTAGTTAAATCTCGCTCTGAATTAATCACTCATGAGAGACTAACCATTAGGGAAAAGCTATTAAAGAATTAAGTACGCTCGACCTGAGAACTCAATCATGAATTGACAATTCGACCATAAGGATTGACGATGGACAATTTTGAGCCATCATAAACCGATCAAGGAATGGTTATAGAATGTTTCGTCAATAGTATACAATCGGAGTGCAGGTGATTCCGCTTGATCATTGTATAGATTGCAAACGACCTTAAACCAATTCCTAACGATCGTGTACTTCGGAACTAGCGATTGACCCCTTACAATTACATAACAACCGAGATCATCCATAGTTCGAGAAAACTTAAACATGGATTGATATTAAGTTAACCACGGGTCAAATACGCATAATTCCTAAAAGCCACCCGCTAGTTTGAGATATACTAAAGTCGCAATCGATCAATTTTGACCATGAATTAGAGTCCGAAATTGGGTGTCGATCTTTTGAGGATTTCAAGACTAAACTATTGGACGTCGCCTCGTTAATTCTCCGATTTATCGGTTTGCTCGTAATTCTCAAAAAAGGATTAATAGGCCGAGAATTTGGAGCCCACAAGAAAGTGGGCCGGACAAAGGCACATTGGGCCTCAAGCCCAATGTGGTTCGGCCATTTGGGCCCAAGACAAGCCCAAGTGGGCCCAGTGAAGCCCACTAAGCTCATTTTTCTATTTTCAAGCCCAAGTTTGAGCCCAATAACATTTTCAAGCCCATTCCTTATCCATTTGAGCCCAAACTTGATTTATACGAGCCCATACAAAATTCTAGCTCGTATACGTATATAGTATTTTTATACTTTGTGAAATTACCATTTTATCCTTCTAACATTTATGACCAAGAAACAAGAGAGTTTAATGCATGAAGACTTTGGGTCTTGGCATTTATGGAAGGGAATGATGAACTTGGACTTGAAGGACAAGCTTTGCATGAGATATTATCTTTCATTTTGTCTCTCTCTCTCCCTCTACTCTCCCTCACGCACTCACCTTTTCAGCCCACCACCATCATCACCACCATTCCCCCCCGCCTCCCTTCCTTTCTTCCTCCTCTCGCCAAGCCGTAGAATAGACTTTGGGCTTGTTCTTGCCGCCGTGCACCACCTGAAGCAGCCTGACTTGCCGTGACCGCCCGGAGCCGTACGCCGCCCGTCTAAGTCGTTTCCACCGCCGGATTGCCTCACCATGAGCCAAACCAGCCGCCCACAGCTGCTGTTCAGCCGAGATCCAGCCGTCGTCGTCGTTCCGTGTTGTTTTCAAACCTTGCCACGCATAGCACCTCGCCGTCACCGTGACATTAGGATTTGACCCATTTTGGGATTTATAAACGGGTATTTCGTCGTGCGCTTATAGTAAAATCTCGCCGAGAGGCCCAGTCACTCCAGGTTATTATTTTTAAATCTTGAGATTTCGCTAATCGCATTCGATCGAATTTGGCCGTTATTTAGACCTTGCGTCGACCTTGGCGATGGTCGATTTTGGCCGTCGCCGTCACGTTCATGTAATCGGAATCGTTTCTGGGTGAGTTAACGCTCTAATCCCTTGATTAGTACGTTAAACTTGCTTAGGGTTTGATTAGACTAAGTTAATCTTGCTTATTGCTAATTAATGAAGGATTAGTTGATAAGCTATCACGATAAGTAATAGGCAGAAGTGATAAGCTATCGCGATAAGTAATAAGTGGACTCGATAAGCTATCGAATTTTTAGTGATAAGTTATTGCCGATATTGCGATATGCTATCAAAGATATTGCGATAAGCTATCAAGGATTTGACGATAAGCTATCGGATTTATTTTATAATTAATATTTTATTACTAAATAAATTAATTTTTCGGAATTTAAATATTAATATTTTTGTGTAGAGTTTAATAATGAATTGTGATTGTTTTAGGCTTGAATTGTGATGCCTATGTTGGAAATTGCCGTATAAATTAGCTTGTATAGCTAAATGAATTGTATTGCTATTTTTAAGGATGTAATTGTAGGCATATGAATAGTAAATCCCGAGGTATTGGATTTATATATCCAGTTTTATGAGTTAAATGAGGCAAGGATGTTTAAAAAGGAAATCATGCAAAGTTTGATAGGTTGATTATGTGTATGTGATCACGTGTGAATTTATTACCGCATTTTTATATGTGGAAGTTGCAGTAATTTGTTTTGTGAGCACGAACCACGTTTGCATTTAGCTAAATGCTGAGATATAAATGAGTTGTGTATTTGTTGCGCTCGTGTGATCACATAAAGGAACCTATCATCCAGTGGGGGTCTGGGGATGCAATGTGTGATATTGTGCGAAAAGTGAGTGCAATAAGTGACACTGTGCATAAGAGAATAGCACATCATATACCCCGTTGTATTGGCTAAATTTAAAGATAAAAAAATTGGCTTGAGTGGTTGGCGTACCTGCATAGTCACATGAAATTCTGTCTAGGCGGGGGTTCTAGACGATGCCCAGCGGGGGTTCGGATGCCGTCTAGGTGGGGATTCTAGACGATGCCGTATCACGGTTGAGGCCGAACCGATGGTCCTTATGGAATGCCGTCCGGGCGGGGGTTCTAGATGTTGTCGTGCCCGATGGAGCGGGACGATGCCCGGTTATGCTGGAAGACACCGGCGGGAGTTCGGTTGTGGCCCTGAGTGGTCGTTTAATAATCCAGACTATTATGAGTACAACGTGCATGGATGAATGCATTGTGCCTGAAAGTGATAAGTATATGTGTCTGGATTATTAAATTGATGTTGTGCCTGCTTATTCACTATGATATGCCTCTGGTTTATGCAATCATGTGATCTTATTATATGCTCATTGGAGCGATTGCGGAGTTATGATGGTTAGTCGAGGGTCCACCTGATGCGAGTAACGCGGGTTGTGCCGTGGCTCTGTGATGTCGTAGTAATCGGAACTCGCGTGAAAGAGTATGTTGCATTGCGCCTAATTATGGAATGAAATTGTGAGGCACGGTATGGGATGGGCCAAAACGGTTTCACTTCATAATCAGGACTCGTGTGGATACCTTGTACATGACAATTACTAAGCGTGTTCTGATTGTATTATTTGATTGTTACATTATGATTGCACATGTTGATTTATTATATGCAGAGCATGTATTTGTGCCAAGACAAGGTAAGAATACCTGCGATTGTTTAATAGCACGTTTGTTTATGTTGGCCTGGGTAACCCGCTTGTGTTTATAATTAAGGCAAAGCAAGGGTTGCTTGCAAGTTGACTTCCTAACCGAGACTTAGGCCGTTAACTTACTAAGATTTATCTTACTCGTTGTTGTTAACCATTTTTTAGGTGCTCAGATATGAGTACGCATTACGTTCCATGGGAACCGGCTGTTTTAAGGGGAAACACCTTTTGAGGTTGCCCTCGTAAATAAAGGAGCTAGGTTAACCCCCTACTTTTTGTAGTTGTAATTGGAAAGATCAATGTAGCAGACTTGTAATACGCTAACCCGATGTATTGCTAATGATGTTATATATATTGAGGTATGTTTTCTTGACTATCCCTATTGCTGTGATTGGGTGGATTATGATTGCTTCTGCTTGTGTTTAATTGAAAGTTAAAATGAATGGGTCGGCGACGCATCCTTGGACGTCGCAATTCCACGACCAAGGAAGGATGTCCACGCGCTCGAGGGTCCAGGGCATGACACCCAAACCCTAGCAATTATGTATTGACAAACAGAAAACCATGAAAACACGGCCTCCATGAATAGAGCAAATTACTAACAATCTGCAGCATTTACAAATAACTCTTAAGTTGCATTGCCATCGACAGATAAAAAACGAATAGGTATATAAAGGATAGACAAGACTCTGAAAACTATGAACCTGAGGCATGGTATTCCATTTCCAGATTCATCCCTTGTAGATCGAAGAAGACCTAAACTCTGTTTTTCGGTATACTTAACAAAATTAAAATATGAAAGGACAAAACAGCTTTCATAGAACTAATGATCTTACTCCAAGATGAGGAGCATCAAAGATTCACTAGCAAATAGAACAATATGCAGAGATATAACTAATTTAACTCAGGCACAACACTTGATGGATAACTTGGAAGGATAACATCACATTTTAGTAATCAATTAAGTATATTCACTCTGAATCAGAAGAATCAGCATTTGAGCTTTGCCGGACACTCCTCCTAGTTTGCGCACCAGACCTTGAATTTAATGAGGATTCACCCTCAAAAAAGATAACTTGAGCTTTGGCCAATCTTTCTTCCAAATCCTCTGTGCTAAATTCATCAGTCCCACCAAGCTCATCAAATCCCACCTAATCACAAATTGAGTATAGCAATATAAGAAACAAGATACCGTCGGTTTCAATAAGGATGTCCATTATTCTAAAGAGTGAACTGCAAAAGTCATAAATCATACCACATAATCCTCCACTTTTGCATTCTTTACGAGAGCAAGAGTAGGGAGAACAACAATCTTAAGCTTTTCAGTGAGAAAAGGGCTTTTCTCTGCATGGATTTTCACAAAGCGGGTCTCTATGTGTTGCTTTGCCAATATACTCATGTGTTTGTCCATCACCTGCAAATCACCTGTGATCAAATACTGTTCCTTCTAGAGTTCAGGACACCACCCACACTATTCGAACGTTCGAATCCTTCCATTCCACAACTTATGTTCTAATTCCATGCAGGAAAATATTGAACCCCCCAACAAAAAGATGATTGGGCAATTCAATCAACACAAGTAAACTCGTCGCACTTTGGAACTCAAACAGCTGCTTTAATTATCTTATATACCCCCACACAGTGCCGATATCACCTTCATCTCACCGTAGAGGTAGCAGCTAGATCATCTATCTATAAGATAATTCTGTTCCATCTTTAGTTCCTAGGGACAAGTGAGAGCAAAAAATCATCTTTATGCTGACGGCATTTGCACAATCCATCGTAAGCACACACTAATCCAATTTTTTACAAAGAAAAATGCGAAAGATGCTGAGATCGGTATGCTATATTGGTTTACAAAGAAACGGAGCAAAGCTCTGTAACTTTGTCGAATGCTTAAATGAGCCCACCAACTTCAATAACCACACGGCAGTGTTTTGCCAAATTGCAAACGGCAGGCATTACTAACGAGTCCGCAACACTTCAAAAAACAAGACTGAATCTTGAGCCGCACATCAACACGAAACTCCAATATTTTTCAGAGCAATGGCAAGCCAAGGGGACTTACCTCAGACGCAAACTTCACCTGCTCAATCCCCCAAAGACCCCTTAAAAATCAACAAAATTTATTCAAAACCGTCATGGGTTCCAAAATGCAGAGGCGCGAAACTCACCTTGCAGGGCCAGTTCTCGCGGTAGAAGTGGCAGACGACGCGGTCGCTGGCCTTGACGACGGAGAAGAACTCCTTCTCGGCGGGGATCTCGGAGTAGTCGCCGTGGCCGAGGGAGATCCAGCGGCCCCGCTTCTCCGCCATCCGCTTCATCTGGGCCAGCCTCCGCTCCCGGAGCGCCTCCAGGTCGTCGTCGTCGAGGCGGTCGAGGGCGGCGATCTCCTCGTCGATCTTGTCCTCCACGGCCTTGGCCACGGTCAGGACTTGCTTCTCGACGATCTGCGACAGAGAGAGAGAAATGGAAAAGCCAGGAAATTAGGTGGAATTCTCGGAGATGGAGAAGGACCCACGATTCGAATTCGCGAGAGGGATCGAAAGATGGGAGCACCTCTTGAACTATGGGGTTCGCCATTGATGGGTCGGGGCGACGAAGGGAAGTTCTGCTCTGCCGAAGCAAATGGAAATGGCGATGGCAATAGGGGTGTAAACAGTTCGGTTCGGTTCGGTTTTCTTGAAAAACCGAACCGAACCGAACCATTAAGGGTGCCCTCTTGAACCGAACCAAAATCCCCTCGAACCGAATTGGAACCGAACCGAAAAATCAATTTGGTTCGGTTTAATTCGGTTTGGTTCGGATCAGTTTTCGGTTTCTTCTTTTTTTTTTTTTTTTTTGCTTTTTATTCATCGCCGCCTGGATCGCTCGCTCTCTCCCCTTCCTCTTTCTCCCTGACCAACTTCTCATTCTGCAACTTCAACTTCTCGTTCTGAACGGAAGCGGAGATCGCCGGTCGGTCACCATGTGCGCGGAGCCCGCGGAAAAGCCCTGTGGCGGTAAGCCCTCTTTCGAGTGAGCTGGTTCCGTGCATCTACAGCTCGTTCGAATCGTTCATGACCACCGGCGATTCCATCAAAGGTAAGGTCCAGAGGCTCTGCAGCTTGTTCGAATCCGCCAAGTCCCCGTCTCGGGGCCCTGATGAGACTCAGCATATAGGAAGGAGCTGCAGGTTTTCGTCGCTCAAAGCCTCCCTCTCCATTTCGAGGCCATCCACCAGCTTGCCTAACCCACTCCCTCAGCCCCTCCACCTCCGCATCCCTTTGGTGAAGCAGAGGGAAGAAGAGACACAAAGGTAAATCAAGCGTCCCTCAGATCCGGGTACGAGCTGCTGTTTCTCATCCTCTCAGACGAACTCGAGGAGAACCCATATTCGCCCCGATCGGAGCTCCGACGGTCGTAGCTGTCGTACCACTTGTACGGCGTCGCCGGGTTCGACGACGACGACGACTTCCGCGAGTCCGACCTCGGGTACGAGCCCGACGATCCCGCGTCTCCGCCGTGGTTGGATCTGCTGAGGAACCCGCAGATGATGGCGAAGAGGACGAGGATGAGGTTGATAGTGTCCCACTCTTCTTGACGGAACGGGCCGGAAGATCCGGGAAGTAAAGGCCGAGGAAGACGAAGAGCCAGAGAGAGTAGCACCGGTCGAAGAGCCTTTTAGGGTAAAAAGCAAAGGGTGTATTTTCGGTTCGGTTCGATCCGAACCGAACCGAAATAAACCGAACCGAAAGAAAAAGAATGGTTTTTTAGTATCCGAAGAAACCGAACCGAACCGAAATGCACAAAATTTTTGGTTCGGTTCGGTTCGGTTTGTATCTCGGTTCGGTTTTTCGGTTCGGTTCTGACACCCCTAGATGGCAATGCGCAGAGCGAGAGAGAGAGAGAGAGAGAAGGTGTGTTCAAAATATGTCGAAATACCAAATGATAGGAGAGAGAGAGACAGAGGACGGTGTCGTTTTTGAGCGTTGTGGGCTTTTCCTGATGAATGGAGCCCATTTTTGTATGGGCCTCCAACCCATTCGATGAGATCGGTTTTCGGTAGGGGGTGATCGGTTGCGGGATGGGGGTAAAATTCCCGGCCTAAAATCCGAGAACTGACTAACTATGAGAACTCTAGTTTCAGAAAAATTGGAACCGAGAACCGGATCGGGTCGGTTCAAGAACTCGATTCCTGAACTAGCCGGTTTTGGATTTGGTTCTATTCGGAGACGGGATGCTTTTGTTTTGGGTAAAAAAAAGCAAATCCTTATGATAAAACATAAAAAGTTGGGTCGTTTCACTATAAAATAAAAAGATTTGTTGGTCAAGTGATTATGCTGATATTTTTTTTTTATGTTGAAGACCATGGTTCAATTCTTGATGGGTGAAAGAAAATTTTTATTTTCAAAAAGATGCTTCACAACCAGTTTAACTCGGGAATCGGACTAATTGAATCAGTTCCCAAGTAGAACTCCGGCCTTGGAACTAGAGACCGAACCAATCCGAGGCCGGCAACCGGGAATTGAAACGGTTCAGTCCGATTCTCGACTAATGAACCAAATCCGGCACTCAACCCTAGTGCATGTCAAACATATAATTTTCTTAAGTAATTGCAAATCAATCAATTAAAAAATTGTATTCTCACCTAAAACAAACCTGGCATGCACGCAGCTCAAGTTCGAGGTCTAATTTGAAACTAATGCAAAACTAGATGGATACGAAAGTTTTACCTCGAACGGAATAGTCGATAAAATTTGGTTTCTAATTTGAAAGGAATCATTCGATAAATTTTCATTCAATTTGGGAAATAATCGGTGCACAATTAACGAGCATATACTTTTTAAGTTCATTGATCTATTATGACTTTTAACGATCTAAAGAAGGCGGGCTTAGAATGAATTTATCTAATGTCTCTTTTCCAATAGACAAAAGAGATAAAAGGCTCGCTTTTCAGTAACACCAAATACTGGCAATATAAAGCAACAGCTGTATAAAGCATTTCTTGCCACATCCACTTCTTGTAACAGGTCCTCATCAAGATGACCAGCAGCAGCAGGCCCCATGACAAGATTACAAGCACACCATCAAAACACAATCAAAGCAGAGATATCCATAACATGCTACTAAACCCTAGTCTACATTCTACACTCTCTTATTCATCATCAAAGCCATCAACTGAAGCTCAAGCCTAGAGTCTCTAGATCAATGGAGAATGGCATACGGTGATCAAGGGCATTTAGGCTTGCCCTTGGAGCTGTGCTTGTCGCGGTAGCAAGGGCACTCGTGCTTGTTGCCGTAGGTCCCGGACGGGACGCACCTGCACTCCTCGCAGCAGATGTTGCAGTACTTGATGCACCGGTCCATCACCCCCGCCTTCGCGCACCTCCCCTTGCACTTGTCCCCACAGAATTCTACAACAATTTCACCTCGTTACTATAATCGCTAGCATCGCAAAAGAACATGAAGGCGCGACACGCATTGCGAATAGATAGAGGGGACGAGAGATGGGCTTGACTGTGGATTGAGAGAGAATGAACTAGTGGAGATATGGGATTGTGAAGAGTAGGGAGGAAACCTCATCTTAGAGAGAGAGAGCCCTAGTTAGGCTGACATGGAGTTGCTCAATCGGAACCATATAACCACAATCCAAGAAGCATTTCGCAAGAATCTATTATTGGATGTTACTCATGGTTAAAACGATGGAGCTTCAGATGAGAGTTGCAAGTATTGACATGACTTAAAAATCTAGCATGCCAAGAAGAGGGTATGCTTGCTTATATACTCACGCGACATTGCAGATGAAGGCTCCAAGAGAGCGAAGCTCAGGAGGAGCGAGCAGAGCAGAAGAGTCGGAGCCAGCAGCTTCATGGCTTCCTTCTAGTTTCTCTCTATCTTCAGGGTTCGGCTAACAATGGAGGTCTCGTCCTGTTCAGATGTGGCCCTTATATAAAAGCAATACATGAAATAAAAAAAAGAGGGACGGAGCTCAATGGAAACCGTTCGCCGTAATGGGATCCACGTGAATTCTACGTAAGATCCGTTACTTTTGACGGTACAGATTCAGTTTAGCATTATATGTTGTTCTCGTGTAATAACTATGTCTCTATATATTGAACGACGGATGAGAAGTGATTCCATCTTCTTCTTTGTTTCCTGTTGTTTCTCGTGCTGTCGCGGGTGTTGTGGTTTACTATTGTTTGGTGATGGTATGCATCGTCCGATAGTTTGTCAGTCACACGTGAAGGAGGCAGAGAAGGTAGCGTAGCGGGTGGGATTCTGGAGGGGTGGTGGTCGGTGCGATGAAGGCGCAGGTGTCGGTGGGTGGTGCAGACTCGACTGACACAGCCTTAAAAAAACCGGACGTGACAGAGTTCTAGGAACTGTCATAAAACTGTAGCAGCTTGTGAAGATGCTCTGAAAAAAAAACCCTTAAAAATGATCTAATCCTAACTCTACTTCCAACTTCTTCTTTTTTGTCGAAAAAAGATTCGTAATTTTCACTTTAATCCCAAATCTGCTATTACGTCCCAATTTCTTCGAAAGTATCAACATTAGAATCGGTTAGAGGTTCATTATCAAAACTTGCATCTTCATCAACACCATCACTTTCGTATGAAACAACTGCAACCTCTTGACATTGATAATATTGAAGAAGTCGATGGCGATTTTTAATTGCATAGGCAAATTTAGGACTAAAGTGAAAATTGGGGGCAAGATTGAGAATTAAGGGTTTTTAGCCCTGAGAATACGACTACTCACGACCGCTGAAAGATTTGACCAATGAAGAACTGCACAAGCTCACTTAAAGAATGCTTATGCAGAACTCAAGAAACAAGCTCAGCATTGTATCGAAGACTTTGCATTACACGAGCAGGGTCTGATTCTACTACAGAAGAACTCGCGGGACAAATCTTCTGCCACAGACTTGAACTTCAAAATTTACTACAGAAAGATTAAGGCATGAACATGTCGTATTATCGCAGAATTTGCAATGAAGCCCCAGCTTTCTTCATTTTACTAGTTAGCTCCCCACACAATGCTGCGGACCGAAAAACCAAATGAATAACAAAGCTAAATCAATGAATGGAAATAGAGAAATTTTACAGATTTTATTTTGAAAGTGACCAAAACAAAAGTGCGATTTGACAGCTTGACATTAGACTAGAACATTGAGATTGACTGTTCAGGTGATTTCATATACGATCATAGTCTCAATCAATAAATCTAATTCTCAAAGAAAATGATTTGAAATGTTATATACTTATTTAATTACTCCATAGTAAATAATATAATACAATATAGTGTTCAAAACACTAGTATCACATGACAATTTCCTCGAAAGGTCGATGCCCCAAAATAAAATTTGGATCTACTCCTGAAAAGCATTCTGTTAAACATTCTATGTTGCTTTCATGTATCAATTAAAGTAAATCAATTAGACAAAGTACATGAGACTAAGTATAAGTTCAAGCACTCTTAAACAACTTTTTTCTTTTAAAAGAATACACTGTTATCAAGAATACATAGCAGAAGAGGTAGCCAGTCTTGCGCAGCCGCGAGGGTTACAGATGCAGACAGACACAAAACTTTCCATTTTTCCCATTCATTTGTTGCTGAAGCAAGTCATCTCATTGCCTCGTTCAATTATCACTAACCCTCATGGCAAGATGACATGGCAACAAAAGCAAAAACAATTCAGCAGAACCCAGGTAGATTCAGAAAGATTTTTGCACAGGCATTCACACACTTCTCAAGTCTAATTTGTCCTTCCAGTCTTCCCCTGGAAACAGATGCAACAGTCCCCAAACACAATGAACTACTGAGCTTAACAGTAAACTTGTGATGCTTACATGGGAATGATTACTATTGCAGATGCTAATCACAGTATAAATTAGATATCTAGCTTACTAAAGAGATAAATTTGGGAATCCCCAACATAACAACACAACTGGTAATTGGGTAGCAGACATACATGCAAGATACCCGCACCATGCTTTCACTAAAAACAAAGTTTCTTTGCCATGCTGTGAATTGTTTACAACACGACAGACGCACTTAACAAGTTCATCATTCAATGTTTAACACAGCAACTTTGTATCACCCGCGCCATACCTTCCACTATAAACATAGTTTCTTCGCCCTGCAGTGAATTATTTACAACACAACAGGCTTGCTAAATGAGTTCATCATTCGATGTTAACACAGTAACTCCATATTTACACATACTGAAGGTAGGAGAATATACAACAATTTTTACGAATTAAGAATCATCAACCCCCCAGGCTGTTGGATACGGGAGCATCCTGACTGTTAGAGTACTCCTTCGTATCATCACTAGATGCTAGCAGATTGACCTGGCAATTATGGCTCGATTCAACTCACAATCCAAAAAATATGTAACACAAAATTTTGAGAGCATATGAAATAACAAATTGTAGGCGGATCGCACCTTGACAATCTCTGATTTTGAACTTGGACGCATATAGGCAGCTAAAATGCTCATATTGAAATCCTGATCACAGTAGTTTAAGTGAATGAGGATGGAAACGGCGTGAGATAATATAACACTAAATGAAAGTGCAAAATAGACAGCAAACAGCTAACAGTGTGTTGCTTCGGAAGCAATCACTCAAAGAGTGAGCTTTTGCTGCTTATAAATGATAATTGAGGGATTTGAGAAATGAGAGAAGCAATAAAAAGCTGATCGTGCCAGAGTACTTAACACTTGGATGGTAACCAATGCAATAAATAATAACCATCTTTCCGACATGTAGCAAGCAAATAATGCATGAATTTCAGGAAGCAACAACAGCAACAAATGTATAAATTAGTCTGCAAGTGAACATTATTAACTACCATATAAGCAGGATTCACATTCCAAGGTGAGGTATTCTCTCCCGAAGTTTTGCCCTCTCAAATTTCTTGCAACCAGACAAACAACAAGAGACACATTCTAATGACTTGGTTCCCTTTATTTTCTAGTAATTTCATGTCTACCAGGAGATTCCTCTCGAAAAGTTATGTGGAATCAAAAACAGGATTGCTTGAAAAAATGCCTGAGAGATGATGAGTAAAACGTACTTAAAATTGATATCTAAAGTTTATTTGGCAGAAAAATTAATTGTCTAAGATGCAATTGCCTTTCTTTCCATCAATTGATGCAGCCCTATATAAACCTTTCCAGACTCAACAGGACTAAAGATAGAAGGAAAACCAGCTGCCACATCTAAAAGTTATATGCATGAAGATCCTCAACCATTCAATTATTATATTAAAATACAAATACCGCATAAAATGTTAATGGGCCGTGATTGCAAAAAGGGCATAGAGAGGCTCTCAACTATTCTAAATGTTAATAAGGAACAAGAGACAGCTGGAACAATTCCATTTATGAAGAATTACTGATTTGCTATGACGTTCTACCAGCAGAGTCCTAGTAAAATTGTGCAAAGTTATCCCCAAATTTAACAATTTAATGATATTAGTTTCTCCCTCATATTTTCATTGAAATTTGTAGATTAGTATATAAATAATCATTTCCAGCATCCTCTGAACACGTGGACATTCTATAACGCACCAGTGGCACATGTAACATATGAAGTAATTAGAAACGTAAAAGTAGAGTGCAAGACATTATTACAAAAAGTTTAGCAAGAGGCTACAGTTGATGGACCAAATCCATACTTTAAGTGCTACCTCAATCATTACAAAAGTCACTATAGATTTCTTTGAATATAAAACATCCTCTGGCTAAAAATGTAAAAAGCATGTCAACAGAAACCAAAAATGGACAGAAGTTGCATGGACATTTTTCTCAGAAAACTATGGAGACATCAGTCTGACGGTAACACAAGAAATCAGTTTGAGATAATGTATTAGGTCTACAATGCATTCTCTCGTTATCGAAGACTAATAGCAAAATAGAGCATAACTCACTCTATGAGGATCACCCCTCAAAGATTGCACAAACATGGAAGATCCTGAACCTCTTCCCTGCACAAAAACATTTATTATTAGATAAATTAAATTTCCATCACAGGTCCGAAGGATTTCATAACAAAAGGAATAAAGCTGAATTTAGTTTATGCTCACAGATAATTCCCTTCCACCTCATTAGTTTCAGAAGATTATGATTTCAGTTGATGACACGACCATTAAAGTTTCAGCAATCAGCATCTTGCAATTACCTTTTTGATCATTAATTATCTGCTTTCCAGGAAAGGAGCAGTTCTCTACTCTATTTTAATTACAATGCACGTCAGAGGAAATTCTGTTTGTCAATCTTTCTTCCATTTGAATCTCTTTTGTTCTTTTCTCTTCATCTGTGTCCACAAGTATGAACGTTTTTTTCCTTTTGGTGGGTTTGCATGAGGGATAAGGACTTCTTTTTCAACAGAAGCTCAATTGTTTAATAAAATTACGGAGACAACAATAGGACACTGACAATGAGTTGATTGCACCACTATATCCCAATTGGCATATCCTGCTATGCATGTGCCAATCACACTAGGCATTCTATAAAGAGGGTGGACATTTTCAGTTTCAAACTGAAAAAACCTGGATACCAGTCAACATTACAAGAAATTAGCTAATTCAAGGGTTAATTACGCCTTGTCACTGTAAAGTCAACCTATATAGCCTCACTAATAAATGAATACCACTTGGTCTCAGATCATGCATGATCCATAATTAGTCTATTTAATCAACTTATATGGGTCATATAACATTGATAGATAACACGGATTAAAATTAGCCCATCTATTTGGCTTTATAATTCTTAGCAAGTGCATTTCAATTTAGGGCTACGACTACTTGGACATATTAAGGACGTCTTAAGCATATGAATGTTAAGCAGTTACCGCAATCAATTCTAAATAGGTAGTTAAGCAAAACAAAACCCCATTTGATTTGAGATTGGTGACGATTGACAGATGTATAGTACATTTCTGGCACAATGCTTGGTGCTACAGTTCTCCCCTTAAATTTAGATTGCTTTCATTCCTCTCTAATCAATGATTAAACTGTCATGATTTCTAAGTTTTGGTATGTTGATTATTGCATCTATCATACCGAATCTCATTTTTATCAAGAACTTTACTGATTGGAGCATGATCATGTTTCTTCCTTCTGCTTTGCCTTTGCAGTAGCAATCCTGGCGATCCATAGGAAGAGAAGCTTCTGTGTAATCTCTCTAAAAGCAAAGTCCTCTCCATTAAATCCTATTATAGAGCTATTAGCAATTTTAACTTCAATGTTTCTGGTCTTTCTCCTCCCAAAGCTATCTGGCTTCCTAATCTCCCACCAAACTTCTCATTTTGTTTTGGCAGCTTCTTGGCAAAGAATCCTCACTTTTAAGAATCTTCCAAAGCACACTTACATTCTAATTGACTGGACTTGCATGAAGCATCCAAGGAATCTACACATCAATTGCTTCTACACTATGCTTTTGTTTAGCAATTCAACTTTCAAATTCTATAGTATTTGTTGGGTTGTGCCAAAGCCCATTCTACGCTTACTTCGAGGATAAAGCACCTTTCCAAAAAGGCTCGGTGTGCAGCTCCGCATTTTCCTATGTACAGCTTTTAAAAGGGAAACAAACTAAGAGACTTCAAGGGATCTGAATCTCCACCTCATTCTGTTTGCATATAACCAGAATGCGATCTTTAATCTTCCTAATAAGAAAGACTTATCTCTATCTTCTCCACATTAGTATGAAAAAGCAAGGATATGGCTATACTAACTTAACATTCTCCACAAGAACTCTTGCACAAAGAGAGAGAGAGAGAGAGAGGACAATTATGATATCAGATTTTGAGAAACTACATCATTCTTGAAGCAGTGATTTTTTGTTATGATTGAAGTCATCTATTCGTTAATTTCATTCTTGAACTCTAAACCTAGTTTTAGTGAGCTACACTTCATGTTTAACTTATTCGAGAACAAAGTTCACGAATCTTTTAATTCACAGCTCGATTCAATTCTTTTCACAATTCAATATTTACCAATATGTAACAATATGTAATATTGAAACTCGTTTGCAATGTCATGTGAGGAGATGGCTTCAAATTCTCAAATCAGAATATATGACTACAGGAGGGTTCCAAATCATCTTATTTAAAGGACATCGAACAATTGGGTTTCACTGAAGATATAGTTCTCAATAAGTGAAACGATACAGGAACTTGTGCAGCCATTCTACATAATAAGAAAATACATTATCAGCCTTATTCTTGCTTTTCATGTAGAACTTTCAATGGTGGCTACTAATATTTCCTCACATAGAACAGATATATATTTACCAACTCAAAGTGTAATCACTTATGTGAGCTATTTATCAGACACGGTACACAAGGATTTCCTCGTTGCTTATTTCATAAATGCCTAAATATTTTTTTAAAGTTTTTTAGACAATTTGAGCAAGATCTTTTGGGACATGTTCTCAAACAATAAAGAATCTTAACCAACTGTGACTTAGCCTCATATGAGGACACAAAAAGAAATATCCCGTGTTCCACAGCCCATGCATATTGACAAAGTGTTAGATAGAGAGACACTGAGACATGCCTTTATATAAGGTCGCATTCTAGTACTTTCAAGTGCCTTAATGTTTAATAGCATAAGTTTGTAACTTCAATCTCCCATTTGAAATCATTAATTTCCATTTATTTGATTGTTAAAGATCATAACTCCTATAACTGAAGCTCATAAGTGAGATCTATCATTTAACAACATGAAAGTAAAATTCCGAGCCACCAATACCCTGAATAGCATTTACAACCAAGCTAAATCATAATTAACCCGTCATAACAACACATCCTTCTGCCGTACAAGTATTGAATCGTGAACTGCGACGTGTTCTACTAGCTCTGGTAAAATGGTAAACAGAGCGTATCAGACAGGAGTTAGACACCATTAAGTTTATGAACAGAATGTGCTTCTGTACGAAAGCAAGATACATCACATCTCAAACTCACAGTCTTCTAAAGTTAGCCTAAATTGCTAGTGACTTGCTAAATCCATAAAATTTCCATATTGCGCAAATGTCATTGATTTACCTCCAAGGAAACGTCTCTAAGACGCCTTCCAGTTTGCGCACAGCAAATACGGACAACATGCTCATCGCAGCTCCCGCTGATAATGTAATCCCTGCTGTTCATGTAGTACGACCGTGTATAATTCTGGGAGCTTCCTGTTGGATTGATTCCAAAATCCAAAAGCAGCTTTCCATCAGCAGCCCGAAATTGTTTAACCTGTCAGATATCAAATAGCATGGCCTAAGAAATGGGTGAAGAAAGATCTCAAACAATAGCAGCAAAGATGTGAATGCTTAAACAGATGAAACTAGGAGGGAGTTTTGAATACACAAAGCTTGGGACCTTACTATACCAAAACTCATCTATTGGATGGTACTAAGTACTTCCAACAAATATAAATAATACTTTGATGATTTCTTCTGGAGGTGTTCCCAGGATTGACATAATTAAAGAGATGGCCTATTATGAGGACATCCCGATTGAGCTCAAAAGGTCTCAAAATCGGAAGGCTTGGGACATTCAATACGGGGAGCATTCTGAAAGGCCAGGGAGTGCACTAAACAAGGTGGTACATTTATTTCCTTCCAGTATTGAGACACGGGTCACCACATTTGCACTTGCGACAGGTATTTATAAAGAGGGGAGGAATTGTCACCAATACAACTAATAAAGTGATCATAAAATATTATGGGCTAATGGATTTTTTTTTGACTGTTTGAATAAAGACATTCACATAAATTGTATAGATCATTTATTGAGCATTATCTTCTAGTATGCATTTGTTAGCATATTTGGCTTCATATATTATACTTATCTGCTTGGACTACATATGCAATTTCTCTTAAAAAGATTCTTTAAATCTATGTCGACACGTATGAGACTAGATCTCTTGCTTATTGAGAATCTAAAAGCAAGATGATTTCTCAGTTTAATATCTACAATTGAATGAAATAAGTGCATAATTCAGGATTTCACAAGTAGTTTTTACTAGTAACAACAAATACCTCATTGTCAACAGCTGATGCGAGAAGATAATGATCATCCGGAGAAAAGCAAACCATAACATTCCCTTTGGAACTGGTCGCAGTGTAGCAAGGAAGAAAAGGTTTCTGTCTCAAATCCCACAGTTTGACATCATGGTCAAACGATGAAGTAGCAAAAAGGGATGGGGAATGGTTAGCAAACTTTACAACATTTATATGTTCTTGATGCATATTGGTGAATACTTGAAGACGTCTTCCACTGTTGATATCATACAGTGCAACATTTTTGGAGTATCCACTAGCAAGAAGCAACTCATCCGCAGAATTCACATGAACTGAAGTCAACTGATCAAAGTCATCAAAAGTGACAGAACCAGTGCCTGAATATGTTCCTGAATTATTTGGAGGTAGTTGGTGGATATCATACAGCTTTAGTGAACCATTGTCAGAACCAGCAATGAGCTGAGATTGAAACAGAGGAAAAGAGTGAGTTAAAAGGAAACGACCACACAACCTAATTACCAGCATAGGTGCAATTCTCTGTCTTCCCATGCACCTCGCTGTCTCCCAAATATAACTTTGCATGCACAATTTATTTGTTTAAAAATCATCAGACTAAGAAAAGGGACATCTCACATTCTGGAAATCACAACTGGAACCGGCATGCTTCCAACTCGTGATCTAATCAAGTTACTAGTTGAAGACCCATGTCTTGCATGAATTTGAAAATTACCTTATCTAATATTCTATTATGGTTAATAAGTTGGTAACCGACATAATGTGAATAGAAATTTTCTATTAAATTCATGACATGTACACGGAAACTACATAGGAATTGACTAAACAATAAAACTCTGTACTTAGTTTTGAATAGGGATTTCTGTTTATAATTTATCTTTAATAGTAACTAATGAAGACAGCGAATATGGAGTTGCAATGGGGTATGATAATACGAAATGCATGGATATGTATATCGATACAATAAAATTATAAAATTAATTAGGAAGTTATGTAGCTTTTGGGACTCTTATCAACAAAGCTAAAGTTCGACCAAAAAACTCAGGGAAAAAACCACCAAAAACCCCAAACTTTGCCATCTGTGACACATTTACCCCGAACTTTTTTTTGTGACACCAAAAATCCCGAACTTTGCTTTTTGTGACACATTTACCCCAGTGTATTTAGTCCATGGGCATTTTCGTCTTTTTTGCTTTTTCTTTTTTTTTTTTCTTTTTTTTTTCCTTTCCGGCGAGGGGCCTCGCCGGCGTCGGGCGAGGCCTGCCCTCGCCGGATCCGGCGAGGGGGCCTCGCCCGGCGTCAGCGAGGGCCGCCCTCGCTCGGGCGAGCGAGGACGGCCCTCGCCCGACGCCGGCGAGGGCGGCCCTCGCCAAATCGGGCGAGGGCGACCCTCGCCCGACGCGCGCTCGCCGGCGTCGAGCGAGGTCGCCTCGCCCGATCTCGGCGAGGGCCGCCCTCGCCGGCGTCGGGCGAGGGCCGCCCTCGCTGGGCGAGCGAGGGCGGCCCTCGCCGACGCCGGCGAGGGTCGACCTCGCCCAGATCGGGCGAGGGCCACCCGTGCGAGGGCGGCCCTCGCCCGATCTCGGCGAGGTCGACCCTCGCCGGCGTCGGGCGAGGGTCGCCCTCGCCTGGGCTAGGCGGGTGAGGGCCGCCCTCGCGGCGTCGAGCGAGGGTCGCCCTCGCCCGATCGGGCGAGGGCAGGCCTCGCCCGACGCCGGCGAGGCCCCTCGCCGGAAAGGAAAAAAAAAAGAAAAAAAAAAAAAGAAAAAGCAAAAAAGACGAAAATGCCCATGGACTAAATACACTGGGGTAAATGTGTCACAAAAAGCAAAGTTCGGGGTTTTTGGTGTCACAAAAAAAAGTTCGGGGTAAATGTGTCACAGATGGCAAAGTTTGGGGTTTTTGGTGGTTTTTTCCCAAAAACTTATACAGCTAAAGAAGCATATACAACATATCAATTTCTCTTTTTTTCCAAATGCGTGACGGTTGTAACTTGTGACATAAGATTATGCAAGTGCATACATACATTTAAAGATAGATCAGTAACGCCCATGAAGTTGTACAACCCTGCACTAATTTTGTGACTCTTATACAAACTTAATAAAGTTAAATCAGATTTTTATCCTATGTGACTGATGAATGAATAATCATATAAAGCTCCCAATAGGAAATAAAATTTTATTAACTATTATATCAAATGTAGTCTAATTGATAAACTACACGTATTACAGGTAGAAGATTGTCCTATCAATGTTGTAATCTTTTTTTTTCTTGTTCTAATTAATATCAAGAATGGTAAAGTAGATCTTTGTGGTGGTGTGACTACTAACTTAATAACAAAACTCCACTTTATCTACTTTTTCTATTTGTATCTTATATTAGATATCCGTTATTAGATCAGTTCCGGCCAGTCATAAGCCGATGGATGTTACTATAGATCATAATCCATACTGTGGCTCACTGTTTCATATGGATAAATGTTTGACAATTATGGTGTTATATCTGGTATGATATATGATAGAATTCACACTATGTTTTTCCTTTCCACTTTCGAATCATGATAGGCTATTCATTTTATTATTTAAGAAGAAAGAAACAGAAGTTTGTGATCAAATGATTCAAGAGTTTCTTAAATGGGCAGATAGATTTCTATGGGCAAACCTGCTAAAAGAGTATAATGAAGAAGATCCTGTTGACAAATCTCCTTCTATTCCTAGAACTTTAAATACGAATTTTGATGGTAACACAGCAACTCGCAATATTTGATATTGCTCCAAATACAGGTTACATCATCAAATGTGTGGTAATTCATGGCACCACAAACATAGAAGTAGGGATACGGAAATGAGTTCCCTATGAATATTTTGACTTCGTGCAGTTTTATTCAAGGAAAAGAAGACTAGGCATTATTACTTTCAACCAATTCATCCCTCTCCCCTTGGTGGCTTTCTGGGATTTCAAATCCTAGCAAAAGTAATGAAGAAGATATTGGTGAAAGGAACACAGACTAGCAATCTAATCCTAAATATCCTTTTAATGACAACTTATAGCTTCATGCCTTGTTTGTTGGGGGGGGGGGGGGGGCCAGCGGCGCGGGTGGGGAAGAGGACTTTTGCACAACACTTAACTGCTTTCAGCACAAAAGTCAAAAGGTGGCCTTTTGCTTTAGTTAAAAAAACTATGTGTATATATTTAGGAAAAAAATCCGATTCTAAATGTAAATATTTATATGCTTTAAAGATTTGGAAAGATCAATATTTATACCATTCACAGTGAGTTGTACTCGATAACATAAAAGTTGGAACAAAAACGTTAAAGGCAAAAAACAACAGCAAGCTAAAAGCTAGTCACGATTAAAAGCTGCAGCCACCACAAACACCAAACTCGCCAAAAAGTCTCCTCCTCAAAGTCAAATAAAATCAAGTTTATAACAAAATATAGATGAAATTAAATAATCTCCACTGCTTTTACAATTTCAGTATAAACATTACATAATTACCCATTTTCTTATGCTTGGAACTGAACATAATGCTATATAAAGCAAGAATTAGTTCAAAAGAAAGTGGATATTATTAGACCGAAAACACACAGAGCAGCCAAAATTCTCAATTTTTAATTTCACACATCAAGAGCTTCAAAATGGCACATGCATGCTCCAAAGTAGTAATAAGTTGTAATAAAATCTGCAGCAACGTGACAAGATAAGTAGCACTCATTCCGATGTAGATCTAGTCTTAAGTAAATTGAGATAATCCATACTTACCAGAGAGGGGTGCTTCTTGAGCCAACAGAGTCCCAATACACTACTCATCGCTCCATAAGATGGGATGCAACTGACAATTTTACCATTCTCATGGTTGATAATGATCACCTCACCATCTAATGTTCCAAAAACCATAAGGGAAGAATCCGAAGGATGATACTCGAATTGTCTTGGCCGAAAGTTCAGAGCTTCATCTCCTGAACTAGAACAAGAAAGTGGTTGCAAGGAAGGCCAAGGACAAGATCCTACTCTGGCAGCACAAAGTGACCTGGTGTAGAAATATTGAGACTTTCCAGAAGGATATGCATTCTTTTGTTTATTTGCGCGAGCCAGGTTCCGACTTTCTTTGATTTCACGGTTTTGCAAGATACTAAGAACACTCTCTTTAGCTTTCCTTCTGTAGGGGAGGTGCTCAAAGTATTGTGAAAAGGTAGCAGCAGCCTGTTCCCTCTCATTCTTTCTAATGGGCAAGTCATCGAGCATTTTCAAATGGGGTAAAGAAGCTATCATGAACTCTCTGTAGTGTTTCTTGAAGCATATAGGTGAAGAGCAACAGGAAATGTATCTCGATGCAATATTTGTAGAAGAATTTGTGCTTGAAGCACCAATAGATTCTTCTTCACTGTGGCTGAGAGATGCTCCAGAATCAACCTATAGGACAGACAACAGTTGGAAAAGAAAATGAGATTTTCCGACCTTTAGACAAGATCACGTCAAACAATAAAGAGATGATTTCTCTTCCATTCACTGCAGCTTGTTGTCATTCATGACATTAAATGATGATTTTCATGATGCTAATAGAGTCATTTCTACCTGCATTTTCATTGCAGCTAAATACATCCAATATGTATTTATTTATTAACAAGCAAAGGAAACCAAGATGTTCTGAATGTCTTATAAAGACAATGAAATTTTCAATTTGACTTGGGACATTTTTTCAACTCACTCCCAGTACAATTCAAGTAGAACCTATGATGGTTGCTAATGTATATCTCATTATGTTGGGTTGATTTTCCTATTAGAATCTCCAACCCAATATCTTAAGTTGTTAGATGAAGACATGAGTTAATATTTAAATATTGTAACACTCTCCCTCACGCGTAGGCTTGAATTTGGCCTAAGCCTAAGCATGAAATTGATAATAGGAGCGGCAACTAAGGGAGCAAGAAAGATTTGAACTTAAGACCATCTGCTTTGATACCATGTTAATTTGGAGGGACTACTACCAATTATTCCAAAAGTTTAAGTTGTTAAATGAAGGCAGGGTATAGTATTTGGATAAAGTAACACATCCAACGATAATGTAGTACCGACCTATGTAATCAATCAATTCTATATTATTTAAGCTCGAGGATACAACACTTTAATATAATCACGAATATGAAAGGATAATCCAAATCTTTTTGGTGTTCTTTTCGCATGGGAGACTCGATGACTTCTGTGATAATCAAGTTTTGGTGGAAAATAAAGTTCAGATGAAAGAAACACAAAAGAAAAGCTGTTTAAAAAGGTGTAATTGCACCAGTATCATTAACTCTCAAAAAGTTCTTTTACCATATCCTCCTTACCATTATTCAGAGCCTATTCTAGGAGTATTTTTTGGTTTATGTATACATTAGTTTACATTAAATATGGCTTTTGGCTTTAACTACATGATGGCTTTCTAGGAAATTCCAAACTGTTACGCATCTAATCAGAAGTTTGTTCTCTTCACACAAATCCACAAAATCAGAAGTGAAGACTTGATTCTGTTTCCTATTCAAGTACAATATTGAACTGTTAACTAGATTCCGTTTAACAACCATGACATGCTGCTCATACGACATAAATGCCAAGTACGTAAAGATAAATTTAATCGTTACCTCATCATGCACATCGGCCCTCCCACTCCACTCGCTGATTGCCGCGGTTAATTCATGCATGAAACCATATTCTTGCCTCTGACTTGAGAAATCAACCTCACTATCATCTGATGACTCCTCCCCTTCCCTTTGTAGTTCAGGATTGCCCATCACATTAGCGACTGTCATTAGATTGTTGAGCATAGTCTCTGAGATTAAATTCTGATCTACGAGTGTCGCAATATCAATCATTGGTTCTTCTGGAAAGGGACCAACTCTGCCATCTTCATTGCCACTTGATGACGCAATATAAGATTCTACATCCTCATAATATAACCGTCTTTGGAACCTTAGCTCCACCAAAGAAGGCAGTTTGGAAAGCGCAGCAGTAGTTGTCCAGAGATTAGCAATTCTTGTCTCACACATCGACAGAAACTTTAGATTCGGCATGCAAGCGAAACAATCTTTATGGAAGCTAGTTAGCGAAGTGCTGTAATCCAAATTCAAAGTGTGTATTCGACTAAACTTCCCCACCATACTGAGCTTGCGAAAATGGGAAGACCTCATGTTTAACACTTCACATGTCAAGCCTCTACTTGAAAGATCCCTAATTCAAAGAGCCGCCAAAAAAACATTATGATGTTGACAAAGTAAATTTAGTAAAAAATCGGTCCTTACCTTATAAGAGAACATTGATGAATAATTCACCATGTAACATTTAGATGCTAGTACGACCTACTTACTGCAATTTCCTCCTCTCATTATCTCTAATACACCTACAACTTCACTCCAGTTCTACACCCATTTATTTTTTCACTAGAAAAATTCTACTATTTTCAGAAAGAACCCAGGGACGACCCTCCACCCCCACACCGTCCTCTCTTCTCTTTCTCTCCTCCTCTCCACTCCCTCCCTCTGCCCAACACCTCATCCACCCACGCACCCCCACAACTAATGATTAACTCCTCCAGCTGTAGATTTCAGAAACAGAAAAAGCCACTGTTTAAGATGGATCTTCCAAAACTCCACCAAACACAACCTATTTGAAGCCACTGTTGAACAAGAGGCTCCTAAAACAAGTCAAAACTCTTATTTTCAGAGTTTGTCCTTATCAAACAAGTAGCTCAATAAGGGTGTTTACATGAGAGAAGCAGACATAATCTTATGGTTCTCAGATGCTAGACTACAGAAGTTTATTTTAAACATGTGTAAAGTATCTGAAAGTCCAACTTTCCACTTCTTTCAATCTATTTCAATTATGCACAATTTGATATGTAATTGTGCTTCAACATAAGTTATCCACATTTCTTCCTTTTTACCGGTTAAAAACAAGAGAGAAGTTGGGGTACCTATGTACCCCATGCACCTCATATATGCTTATAATAAATGGCCAACGGATATATACAATAATAACTTGTACAAAATAGTGATAAATATAAATGATCCTTAATGCAAATAAAAATTGCATTCTTCCTCCAAAAAGATCTTTTAACAAAGGTATGGGCACTTGAGTGGAAGTGGCTCTGCAGATTCGAGAGCAGCCATCAAGTAAAATGTGTCCATGCAAGCAAAAATGGCCGGAAAACATAAAATGGCTTGATCCAGTGACTCCAGTTTATTTTTATTTGTTTTCCTATTTCAGTGATAACTATCTATTCAGGTTTAAAGCAGCATATCGAATGCAAAATCGAAAAGAAAACCAATATCAACTCTCAATCTCATCTCAAGCCCTCAAACCCTCCACAGCCAAAGATAGCTAGGAATCTGTTTCTCAGCTACCGCACTTCCAAACTGCTCAAAACTTGTTTATCAAGTGCACAACTCTTATAGCAAAAAATTTGGACTTAAAAACATACTAGACCGTGCATGTGATGTCATCAAATTTTTATGACTCATGAGATCAAAAGGACATTAGGATGTACCGGCAAAAGTCCTTTCCCAAGGAGAAATCCTGGAGATCAACCACACGAAGTTTATTATTCAGGGCACGAATCAGCGATAAAGCATACTCTCCCTTTAATTCACCAGATGATTTATTATATATGTCAACCGCTTCAATTTCAGATGCCTCAATGTCGACCACTACATCAAGCAGTGGATGGAAATCTATATCCTTGAGACGGTCTAGCATGATCTCTAGTGTACATAACTCGTGGCGAGTTTTTTTTACCTCAGCCTGAACATAAAAGAAAAGAAAGAATTATCTTTAGGAAGCATCCCCTCTGGAGCAGAAAACAAATAAATAAAGCATGCTTAAAGAGATTCAATTGAACAAAGAAAATTAATAATGAAGTCCATTAAAGAAAGTAAGTTAATTGAACATCCTTAACACAATTGTACAATGGATATTACCAAGATGTCTGGTGCTAAAAAGTGCAAAAAATCAAAATCCGATTGACAGATATTACCACTAAAAACAATCATGATATGAACATGTGTGTGCACATGCTCCATCATGCACACATGCACATCCAAAAGCACACGAAGATAGATCAAAGAAACAAGCACGTGGGCAAAGTCACTAAGTAGGGTTCCAATGACTTGAATTCACAAAATTTCTTATATTAGTAAAGCAAGCTCCACTAACTGCTTAGCACTATGGCACTATTAAAGCACAATAAGTTGATAAAGGGAACTTTAGCTATTATCAACTAGAGAAGAGATGGTGAATTTGATGAATAGAAAAAATAAGATAAAAGAAACCCTTTTTCACTACCTCAAGAAAATTTACCACCCAAAAAGGCCAAGTCAAAACTAGAGCAGGACTCATATCAGATATCTTAGATGAGCAAATAAGTGAGCAGAAATGAGCCGGTAAGACTTAATCCAGAATAATCACATGAAAAGGAGGACCCTTGGAGATCCCCCCCCACCCAAGGGAGAAAACAAGAGAGGGAGAAAGCCCCTGCAGTGTACTAGTCCCAACAGCAGTACACGATTGACATATTCAACTTCCAGAAAAAATTGATTTTCATCGCCTTAAATTGAGACTTTGCATGGTAAACAAGTCAAAGAACAAGAGGACAAAGGAACAGGGAAAAATATGGTAGCAGAGTCAGAGAATGGGGACATTGCAGACAGGCCGCAGAACAAGGCAGGCAACAAAATGAAAGAGAAGAAATAATTGAATAAAGTTGGCTTGTTGGCAAAGTTGCAGATCTGTGATAAAATAAAGTGCCCAAAAACCTAATATAAAAATGAGTTTTACTCTGGACAGATAGTCACTTCTCATGAGAAGGTGAATACGCAATGGCGGACCAAGAATTTAAGTTTGGGGGACGAGACAGATATTTTAACTATACATACCTTTTTTAGAACTATTTTAATCATAATATAAGAAACTTTTGTTCAATGGGAATGTATGAGAGAGAAATGCAAAGGAAAGAAGGGACACAAGGGTCATAGACAGTTGACAAGTTAAAAAAACGAAAAAGAATTAAGGAAAACGAAAATCACAAGCATGTTTTGGAACAAGGTAGGAAGAAGGCAAGAACAAGTTCCAAAATAATAAGATAAGCACTAGAAAAGAATGTATTGTTCCTTTGATCTATACAACGTAGGAGTCAGGAGGCATAAACAGAAAGCCAACACAACTTATTATCTCCAAGATGATGTAACTCAGTTAAGTTGTTCATATCCTCAAGATGCTAACATAAGTTCACTGAATATAACATGATCATATAAGGAGACTATGGTGAGAACTCTAGTAAAGAAAAAGACCACACGAATCCAAATTCACAAAAGAATCAAACTAGAGAACTGGGCATTTTGACTGCCTGTGAACAGAATCATTTCGTGAGATATGAAATTCATTGATTGTAAAAGTATTTCTCTTCGGCCTCAATATCCCATTCAGTTTAGTACAATGACTTAAATACAAAGCCAATATTTCCTTTGCCCAAACACTGGGTGACAACTATCTTTCATAAACACATGCTGCAAAATCCATATTAGTATTCAACAAATCAATTCAAGTATAGCTGCTTGTAGAGCCAAATTTTTCCATTGGGAACTCTTCCATCAATTGCTAGAAGAAATTGCAAGAAAGGTTCAAAATGCGGGAATTAATTCCCTAACTTCCACTTCCAGAATAGCTCATATCTGTATTGTCTACTATATTTCAGCACTGACAAGTGACAACTTCCAGATTACGAGCATGCAACAAAGATGTCGTTAGTCCAAGTTCCTATTATACAAGAATTATCTCTTCCATGCGAAAATGATCCAAAAGCTACCTTTTAAACATTTTCCACATCTGACAAGGGGAGAAAAACGGGAGAAGGTTTGATATGCAGATTTCTAATAAAGAAATTACCATATTTAACACCAACCTTGAAGAAGCCGGACAATAGTGTAGGATTAGGAAGGGCGCCATGGTCTCTGCACCGACTAATATATCTGAACCAAAACAGAATGTTATTAATCATTTCAAAAGATCAATCAGCCACTGGAATCAAGATCCTGAAGAAAATTGATATTGCTAGATCACTTGGAATGAAAATGACCAACTAATGGCCGAAAAGGATTGACTAGATGAACGAGTCCAAAGATGATGAACCAAAGGGTGACTAAAGTCCTCCAGCTTTATGAAAACATTTATTGTGGTTTGCCCTCTTTTTTACCCTTAAACAGTCTCAGTAGATGACAAAAATCATTACCGTGAAAAAACAAGCTATCAAACCCATGAATATTTGTTCTAGACTGATACTCTCATGAAATCCCACCAATTATCTATTGTATTTATGTATATTTACTATGATGCCCTCGGTGATTGCTTCCAAGTGATAATAGTTTCCTTATTCACCTACCCTTCTTCCAATCACTGAAAATATCATCTCTCAGCACTTAATTCATCTGACTATACCCAAAAGTTTATCCAACATTTCTAGATTCCCAGTTCCTGGATATGTAGAGAGTGCAACAACCAACACCTACTCATATTTGGAGCTCATTAAAAATGCAAGAGACTTATCTTTCTAGGGCGCCGGTACAACATTTCTCTGACCCAAAAGGCTTCTAACACCAAATTTTCGGGTCCCATATAACCAGCGAATTGAAAAAGATCTGCAACCTAGGCTTCCAAGAAACATGATTCAAAGAACCACTGCAAACAGGAACCTATATCACTACATCTAACTAGGAAGCATCTTCTCACTCCTTCAGTACAACTCGCTCTATCATTATATCAACCAAAACGATGTGGTCATGAGGCTAAAGTGATCAGATTTCTTAGGAGCTACAATCATCCAAGAGATTTACAAGCAGCTTCCTGAGGCCACTGATCATGCTGAACGAATTATAGTGTGACAGTGACACAAGTCAACACAGTTCACAAGGGAAAATGATCAGCATAAATAACCCAAAACAATGAAACCCAGAATCTTTAATATTTGTGAAATATGATCTCTTCACATTCAAAGGAAGGTTTTGCGTAACAATCCTTGTCCACTCAATAGATAAAGGGTAGGAGACCAGACAAACAACGACATCCGCTGATTATCATAAGAACCCGGACTCGCCCAATTAAAACGAGAAGATCAAAACATAGCAAACTACAGAGAGTCCCAAACACATTCCCACGTGTCTATACTCTTTCCCTGTCCAAGAAATGTATCTGTTACCAAGTCGGCATTCACCTTTTCAGCATTGACCCAAGAAGAACACGGGCAATTTAGACCACGATAAAAATTTCAGTTATATCGATAAGTAAAGTGGCCAAATCAAGTAGACGAACAAAGAAAGGTGGATCGAATTCAGCAGAACCCATCACCTTCCTCAGTCTCATTAAAATTCCTCCAACAACATGAACTAACAACGAGCCTTCTTTTTACACATAGAGACGACAACAACCAAACAACCCGAGAAGGGGCAAAAAGAAAAACGACGTCGCAGCTCAATCAGCTGAATTCCCACGAAGAACGTCCACAGCAGAACAAGATAAACCATCGACCCGCCTCGAAAACAAATGAAAAAAACCAAAATTTTCCTGGCGGATACAGAAATGAGCAGGCGAAAAAGAGAAACAAAACGAGACGGGGAGAGAAGGAGGAGGAGGCGCACCTCTCTTCTACAGTTTGAATGTCCATGGCGATGGAGGCGGAGGCACGATCAGATGAAACCAGCTCGCCCCGTCGCCGACCCAGAAGGCATTTCAAGAACGTGCCCAGATCAAGAATGATTGCAAGCGAGCGAGATAGATAGAGAGATGGGTCTTGTGCTGCAGTTTCAGTTTACGTTGCAACTTTGCGTGGCGTTTGGTCTCTCGCGTTTGGTGGGTCGACGCGACGCCGCTCGCTAGCCACGAGCTTCATGTTCAGAGAGAGAGAGAGAGAGAGAGCGAGAGAGAGGGGGCACCACCAACCCGCCGGTAACCCCCACGCACGAAAGCGACAAGCCCAGGTGGCAGAAATATAGTATTTATAGATATTATATTAAAATATTATATACTATGATGTCCGGTCCAAATATTCTTGTTATTATTTTTTCACTTAGTATTTGTCCAAAAAGCGATTCCCATTGTATTGAAAATAGCAATTTTTCTTCATTTAGATATTTAATAAATTTCACATCATGAGATTTGCGAGTCGGGTGAGATTTGAACGAGTGACATCCACTTTCTTGAATGAAAATCCATTTCTAGAGTTTCAATGATATCCACGTTTCGGTAATACTGTTTACATATAGACATGGTCAGATCGTCGATAAACACATGTTGGGGACATAAACATCGATGGATATGAATGTCGGCAACGATGCAAATGGCCGAAGGTCTTTAGGACACGAGAAACCAGTAAAAAGGAGAAGAGGCACGGTTCCAAGACCATGATTGAAATCGGGAAGAGATGGGCGCATCCTTGGAGGGAACAGTTGCCATTTTGAGTATGGAAATGAAAGAATATGGAAGACAGAACCAAGAAGCGGTATAATCGTGGGACAATTACCGATGAGAGATCATTAGTTGCAACATCATGGGAGCAGTTAATGCTCATTTTCAGGGAGATAATTGTTCAGAAAGAAGATCTAAGAATCATAGATAGAAACCAACCACAAAAGACACAACCATTGGAAACCATCTAGAGACAGTTATTGCATGCTCACTATAAATACTACCGGTCATCTACAAGATAGTAGGGGTGATCGGCTCCCGATCTGGTCAAGCGACGGAAACCGACCACAAAAGACACAACCGTTGGAAACCGTCTAGAGACAGTTATTGCATGCCCACTATAAATACTACCGGTCATCTACTAGATAGTAGGAGTGATCGGTTCCTGGTCTGATCCGATTCCAAAGTGGAACCGAGAATTGGACTAGGAGGACTGGTTCCTAATTTTGAGAACTGGGGACCGGATCGATGTCCGGTCCCATCCAATGAAACCGATCACTTTTTTTTATTTTTTTTCCCACCACAACAAGAGAAAGTGACAAGTCTCAACATATTGACGGAAGCGACGATGAGTTAAAGAGTCATTGTGGTGCGATGATAAGGGGAAAGCGTCATATATGAGTTTAGTTCACATTTAACTAATTTTTTTCAAGAAAGAAAAAATGAAAAAAAGAATATGTAGACGGTCCGGTCCAATCCGATCCCCACTTGGAACCGGGAATCGGATCGCCCAGACACCGATTTTACTTTTAGAAATCAAGAACCGGACCGACACTCTTGGGAATCGGACCAAACGGATCAGTCCAGTCCAGGCGATCCATTTTGCATACCCCTACACAAATCAAACAAATTTATCTTTATCTTTATTTTCTTGCATTGCAATTTACTTTTCTTAGTCATAGCTTTCAAATTTGCTTCGTCAATTAAATTTTGGCATATGTCTCCATCCCGGGTGTTGCGTCGTCGATCAAATTCCGGTGTAGTATCTTCGTGTTGTTAAGCTTTGCCGTCAATTAAATTCCGGCAGAGTCTGTCAAAGTTTGGTTCGTTTGTATCGATTGTACTTTCCAAGTCTTATTGTCGATTGAATTCTGGCATAATATGTGTTTGTATAATTCCATTGGGAGCAAAGTGTTCGATTTCTATATTCACCTGGATATTTCCTATCTTGGATCATCACAGAACCCAATCTCTTTCAATTAAAAGCCGAAAATCTACTTTCTGTGAAAGATATTTCGTTGCGGGAGAAATTCGAGCAAAACACACACGAAGGAAAATTTTAAAAAAAAAAGAAAAAATAAGTCTAATTATTGCGTGAGCCTAACTAGGTTAATACCACGAAAAACCCAAAACTGGTATACATGTGATAAATTTATCTCAAAACTAATTTTTTGACCACCAAAGATCCCAAACTAGTATACCTATGACAATTTACTTTCCGTTAGTTTCCGTTGAATTTTACCGTTAAATTGATGAGTTGGATGACACGTGACAGTTGATACGTATACCAGGTTGGGGTTTTACCCCCATTTGTCATATGTTCACCAGTTTGTGGTTTTTCGTTGTATTAATCCAATTTAACGGAAACTAACGGAGAGTAAATTTATCACAAGTGTATCAGTTTGGAGTTTTTGGTGGTCAAAAAATTAGTTTTGGGTAAATTTATTACAAGTGTATTAGTTTAGGATTTTTCGTGTGATATTAACCCTTCAGATAGTAGAGATCGACGTTAAACCCGTCTACTGTAAGGAGCAACATGCAATACGCTCATAATAAATTAAGTGCACGCAATGCAATGAGTGTTTCACGAAAATCAAATTTTTATTTGGGGTCGTCTTGACATAATTATTCATCTATTGTACAATGAGAAGATGTGCTCCTACTTTTGAGAGATACTTTTCGTATCTATTTCTCGAAATTTCCATCCCCAACTTTTGGTGAGATAGGGTAATTAAACTTAAGTGATATAATTAATGGTTTGAAAAAAAATCTCATTACGATATTTTCCAAAAGAAAATTATTTTCTTCCTCTCTTGGATCACACATTGATTTTTTGGCAAGGAGCCCGACCTTCCACCTTTGGATCTTGAAAAGAATGATTTTTACTTAATGAATTTTGTTATTTAAAAATTACCTCCTTGAAATAATTATAGAAGGAGCATTATTATTAAAAGAGATATATTAACAAAAATCAATTATCACAAGTAATTTACGTTGGGTACAAATTTATAAAATATATATTAGGGCGTACTTAGATTTGTCCGTACAATAATATGGGCCTCCACTATCTTTGCTATCCATAAGTGTTCATTTAATTGCATAAATGTCAATAGACATGGCATAGCACCCCAAGCCCACAACGAAGAGGAGTTATTTTGTAAAGCGGTTTATAAGTGAGAGCTTTCAAGTAATGACGCCAGATGTAACGATCCAACTCCATCAATTTAGTACTAAATCTTTTGATGATTTTCTCAAAGTAGTGCATCGGCTAACTTAAATCGCGAGATTTTGATGTGGAGATCCTGTAAGTATCGTGGCCAAATCTGACGTGAATTATTGGCTATCGAAATGATGCTATCATTAACAAAATAATAAAATAAACAAGAAATTTCTGATTTTTGGGTTTTATTTTTAAGAAGAAAGGAAAAACTCGAAATATGAGGATTTCTCAAAAGCCAGATGTTTTCATAATTGAGATCCAAAAACGATCTTTTTTTTTTTTATTTTTCGTTGCTGGATCAGTTTTTTTTTGCTCTTGGTCTCTTTTTCTTTTTGCCATCACGTCAATGATTTCCGACTTAAATTGGCTAGATGGATCATATAAGGATATCATCAAAAGATTTAGGACTATATTAGTCAAATTGGAAAGTTTGGGACTGAATTAAAATTCATATAATAAATTTATGACTTTTTGGACCATTTTTCCAATATGGAATTGAGAAGGTTAACAAAAATAACTCGATAAAAAGAAGTTAGAAAATATGTGGGACATTAATAGCTGAAGGTTTTGATTGAATTAAAACCTGCCCAGTCATTGTTGGAATGATCGGTTTAAGACGCTAACGAAGTACCAATTGTCTACTAAGCAAACCCGTCACTACAGCCCCACTGCAATACGAGGAGAAAAAGCCCAAGACAGGCAATGCACCTAAATGCAGGCCCACGCTTCGCAGACTAAACGAAGTCCCTTGAGACCAAGAATAGACTTGGGAATCAAATTTGTGATTTTCCGACTTGCAAATCAAGTTTGAACTACTTTATTAACCATTGCGGTGGTAGATATGTGGGTCAGTGATCGAGCCATGGATTTGGTTTTTTTTTTTTTTGTATGGAAAAAGTTGATTTGGTAAGTAAACTTATTTAATTTGCTACTATGTATAGCAACATAAACCGAAGAAATTCAAATCTTAATATATATATATATTTTTAATTCCAATGTGTCACCAAATGTAATCATTTCTAAACTAAAATTCCCATTTGGATTCTTACATCTTAATGCAATTGTCTCATTTCAATGAAACCCAGTGGGTTGCCTACATGTCAATGAATGTGTTTCCATCCATGGATAAAACGATGTCATTTTTTGGTTGAGAAAATTACTCAATCAATCCTAAATTTATTGTACTGTTGTCACTTCAGTCCTAAATTTTTCAATTTTTCCAATCTAGTCATAAACTTTTGCACAAAATTCCAGTGTAGTTTTTGTGACATCCCAAATTTCGCACACCCGATTAGTGAGCGAAGGAAATTGAATGTGGAAATGGTTGTTGAATTTCGGGACGACGATTGTTAGTATATGCCATGACAGATTATTTATATGATCCACTGGACAAATTTTGATAATAATGTATGATCATTAGAGTCCAATTTACGTGGAAGTGAGCCTAGTTAGGACCAAATTGGCATCATGGCCGGCCAGGTTAGACCGGGAACGCCACACGCCGCGCCACTTGTCCCTTCGCCACCACGCCAAATGTCACCGCCACCACACCAAGTGTCACCCCAGCCAAGTCACACATGGATTTTCATGCATGAAGGGTTGCTGAAGATGAAGACATCCCTCTCTCTCTCTCGCGGCCCCCCCCCCCCCCCCCCCCCACACACACACACACTCTCACTCACGGTTACTCTATTGGAGAGAGAACACCAGAATTTCTCTTGCTTTTTCTTTGCAAATCCGTTGGCGCCGATAGGAATCAAGAGGATTCCGCGGCAAATTCTCATACGGTTCAACTTCCAGGCAAGTGAAACTCTAATTCCTAGACTCCTTGATCTTCTTGCGACTCGGTTCTAGGGTTTTCAGAAGTAGTTGTTCACAGCCAACCGAATTGAAGACGGTTCGATGAAATTGCGGTGTAGTTCAGCGCTTAAATCGCTTAAAAAACATAAAATCGTAGTCATGGGCACGTGAATATTGATGTTCCTTCTTTTTTTTTTTTTGGTCGAAACAAAATTTTA